AGAAGATTCCATCTATCACGGAAAAGATGTCTACATTGTGGCTCAACGGGCCGTGCGGTGTATTATACTCGATACACCAACCAAGACAAAGAGGATCTTAACGGTTGGGCTATTGTGCACCGGTATCTCCACATGGTAAACTACCGCCCCAAGCGATGATGATTACAACTTCAGCGCAAACACATATGATGGTCGGTTCTATCAAGAAGATGGGCTACCGAGCACGTTTGAGATAGTCTTACCCGAAGCAATCGAAATGGAAGTAGACAAGCGAAAGCGGTTGATGGCGAGGTCGATGGAGATGTGGTGGTAAATGCCAAGGACATAGCAATGCTTGAGCGATTACTTCTAGGCAATGACGACGATGACAACATAGAACCTTCGGATAGTGTTGCCCATTTGGACAATTTTTGATGATGATGAGACCTATGATCCCAATCATGAAGATTATTCCTAATACATGTAATACTATGGTTTTTTAATTTGTGTTTTGTTTATATATTTTGAATCTATTTCTAATATATGTACTAATTAGTCTTGTTCATTCTTTGTGATTGCGGTGATTGGACAAAGATGGCGGCAGACGTCCACGCCGTGACACGCCCTCGGTTTCTGGGAGAGACCGCCCTCTCCTCGAGGTGAGGGTCATCGTCGAGTAGCGTCCGCAGAGGTGACGAGAGGAGGACCCGGGGCAGCCGCCGCATGGAGGAGGCAGCGGTCTCCTCCTCGACACGTGATGAGGTCTTTGGAGGAGGAGCACGTGGTGGCCCAGACCTCATCCTCGTCGGAGGGGCGAGAGGGGTCGATGAGGCAGGCGAGGGAGGCGAGGCGCTCGAGGGCGAGGGAGAGGTACCGCTACCTGCGGACTCTCTCTGAGTGAGGTCCATGAGCCTCCCTCCGGTTCTACGCTTCCTCACAACCGGCCAAGTGATTTGGCCTATGGCAAAGAGGTAAGTAACTATGGATGTTATCACAACTACTTCATAAGATATGTTGGAAATCTTAAGAGAAGCGATAAATTTTCTTAATCACTTGTGCAGGGCCTGGTTGGTTTTGTCGGGTACTCCAAAGACGCACCCATGAGCATCCTTGGTGTTTTGTGCAGGAAATGGTACCCGGCATTGTGCAAGCTGTCCGAAGAGCCGGTGGTGCGGGGAGGCGGCCTCAAGCTGGACAGTCTGTACGCGCTGGTCACGGATGACACTTACCGCAACAAGCGGGGAGCGAGTATTGGCGGAGTTTTGTGTAAGTCTCTCTCGCACAACATTGCTTAATACATCGTATTCATAGGTTAAATCTTTTATCGAAATAATGAATGGATACATCGGTTTTGTATGCGAGAAATATTTCAAGGTCAAGAAGGACTTGAGGCCCAGGCGGATCGAGGGGCATTTGCAGCTTGTAGGAAAGTCGTCACCGAGATGCACCACCATGGGCGCTTTCCAGCCCACATAGACTACTACAGGTCGGTGCTTAGGCGGTCCCTCCCAAGCCTCAAGCAAGACGGATTCTGACTGACCGGGACCGATTACCTTGAGGTAGGCGAATAACATTCATAATGATTCGTTTTGATATTAAGTAGGTTCAATTTCATCTTCTTATATGTCAAATACTCGATGACTTGTAGGTGATTCCACTGGAGGTGCCGATCGTATCCCGAGTCTTTGGGCCATGATCGTGGACAAGTGGTTATCACAGGACTTTGTTGACACGCACGACGAGGCGGTGAGGAGCAGCGTCTAATGAGGCAAGGTCCAACTCACCATCAAAGGCAGCCGTAGCCTCCCGGATACAAACAAGCATACGTAAGTGATTTCTTTCATTTATTTTGATGCTCAATTTCGCTTGATTTCTCACCATCTTCCGTCTTTCTCGCAGGAGGTCTGCGCTTGCAAGGCGAGGAGGTCTCGGAGTTCTCTGTGTGGGTTATGTCCCACATGGGCGGGCGTCGTCCTCTATCTCCTTGACCCGGCTGCCCGCCCTTGGTGTACTCGACCCGAACGTGTACACTAAAGTCCAAGAGTACCGTCAGCGGTAAGGGAGATCTATGGGAAGATTACAATGTGCGACTTGAGCCCATTGATGCGAGAGGCAATCATGAGGCTCGGAGGAGGCAAGAAGCACGCGGGCGGTGTGGATTGCGAGGCGGCGCCATCGACTCCTCCTTGTTCCCTCCCTCGGCGCTATCCGAGCACGAACACGAGCTCCGGCCACCCAGACGTCCACGGCCTTCTCCGACCCTTTGAAGCGGTCCAAGCACTCCTGTGTAATTCTGTTTTACTCATCGTGACGTAGATATTTACACACCTAAATTAGATTTGCATTATGATACATTGGGTGAAATATTGCAGGGCGAGCTACAAGAAACAAAAAGGCAAAGTCAGAAGCGAAGCGGAGCTGACCGCATTGCAGTGCGAGCCGAGAAGGTCGCGTTCGAGGCCCGGCATGAAGGAGATGGCGGAGATGATGGTGATCATGCAAAGTCTTGGGCAAGCATCGGGTGTACCTGTGCAGTTTTCAGCTCCTCCACCTCCTACTCCTGCAGCTACTCCTGTAAGTATGAAAGTTCACTTTTCGCTTGTGCTTGGCATGTATGTCGGCCTTCGTGCCGTTGTGGATGTCGGCGTTCGTGCCATTGTGGATGTCGACGTTCGTGCCGTCGTTTGTTGCAGGTTTTGGAAACCTCCCCGTGCAGGGGAGGTGCTGCCGAAATTTTCAATTGAGTCTAATCTTTTTGTATTCCTACAATACTAGATGCAATCTCTAAGTTCCAAAACTGTTTTCCCATATTACTCACACATGCAATCTCTGCTCCTTTGTGCAGCTTCCGTCCGCGGGTTCCAATCAACCCGCTAGTGCGTCACCGGGTGATCCTGCTTTTCCTTCACCATCGTCTGATAGGCTAGCTTGATGAGGACTCGTGCTAGGTGATGTGGTTGGACTTTAGCGTGATTTGTGATTTATGGTTGTGACTTGTGCTTGGATTTCATTAACTTGTCATAATAAACATGTGAATGATGATGAACATGTGACTTATCGTTGTAACATATTGTGATTTGTGGTTCACAATTATGGTTGTGATATATTGTGAGAAAATGGGTTCTGTGTGATATATATATGTATATATATGAAATGCTTGTGTCGATGGAATGCAAAAAACAAAAACAAAATTAAATTTCTGCCGCTTTGCCGAGGGCAATGACCAAGGCCCTCGGCAAAGAAGGGTCCTTTGCCGAGGGCCCAAGCAATAGCCCTCGGCAAAGATTTTTTTGGAAAAAAATCCTGATAATTTCTTTGCCGAGGGCCAGGGAGCAGGCCCTCGGCAAAGGGTTAAAAAAAATTCAAAAAAACCATTTCTTTGCCGAGGGCCGGCCCTCGGCAAAGAATTTTTAAAAAATCCTGAAAATTTCTTTGTCGAGGGCCAGGGAGGAGGCCCTCGGCAAAGGTTTTTAAAAAAAATAAAAAAAATTTATTTGTCGAGGGTCGGCCCTCGGCAAACAAATTAAAAAAAACATTTCTTTGCCAAGGGTCGGCCCTCGGCAAAGAAACCGCCAACGGCGCCGGCGCCTGACGGCTTCTTTTCTTTGCCGAGGGCCGTCCTGGCCCTCGGCAAAGGCTTTGCCGAGTGCCTAATAAAGGGCCCTCGGCAAAGACCCCTTCGCCGTCTAAAAATTCCCCGAGGGGTCTTTGCCGAGGGCTGCCCTCGACAAAGCCTTTGCCGAGGGTTTCTGGGCCTTTGCCGAGGGCTAGAGGCCCTCGGCAAAGCATGCGCCTCCAGTAGTAGTAGAGGGGACAAGAGGACTCGTACGTGTGCATACACTCACCCATATGAATGCATGCACACACATCATATCCTTATGAGCACCTTCGAAAGACTGAACTAGCACATCTTGAGATTGACCGAAGTCACCGCAGACGCCTAACTACCGACGGCCACGTCACCTACCTCTGAAAGAGCAACGTTGTTAAATCTTGGAAAATACGATCACCCACGTCAAGTCGAGAACTTCAACCCGAATGGACAGGTTACATCATAAGAAACCAACCAGCAGGGTGAAGCTCAGTTCACACAACCACATCACTTAATCACCTATGACAAAAAAAATGGATACTATCCTTTTTAATTATGTCATACGAATTTTGTATTGAATACTTCGGTCACAAAATGATTTAAAATGAAAAAGTTTGTATTACAAAGTTTTAGATCTCGGTGAGAACTATAACTTTGTTATGTGTCTATCAATATCAATTGAAAAAAAAAATCAGAATTTTTTTATTTCAATTTAACGATTTCAAATAAAAAATCATCAACTACGAAGTTTCACACGATCTTACAGAGCTCTGTAATTTTAATGTACATTTTATCTTCATTTCACTACTTCACTCGAAAAAAGTTGTGAATTTATTTGTCTGGCACCAACAGTCCTTAGAATTTATTTGTTCGGCACCAATTTTTATGGAATTTAAGTCTTATGGAGTTTTATTTCAGAAGTTCAAAGTATGGGTCAGAACGTGACCATGTGGCCGGTGTGCACATTGGGATTTGCATCCCTACTTGTGACCACTAGTACTACCTACCTTTTTATTAGATGTCATATTTGCTTTGTCCTAAATTTAATATTTATATCTTTGACCATTAATTTTAAAAAAGTTATATAGACTCATGTCATAAGATTTATATTTTTAGATTCACTATGAGAAATACTTTTATAATATATAATTCATATATTTTGTGAAATTTATAAGTATTTTTTAAAATGGTTGGTCAAAATTGGTAATATTTGACTTAGAACAAGGCAAATGTGACATGTAAAAAATCGGAGAGAGTAGTATAGAAAGGTAAAAGAAAACGAGGCTTAAATAACAGGTGGAATTCCATTGAAGCATATACGTGTATTTTTTACGTACTCCGTATAATAATAGCACATGACGGCCGGCCGCCGGCGTTATTTATGTTTATAAATATTGCATGGAAGGTAAACATGCAGCATCAGGGCACATTAGATTTGCTGGAAGTCGTTGAGCATCAACTGGCCGTCGGCATCATCCTTCACCATGCCCTTGTTGATCTTTGGCGCCCACCAGCTCGCCGGCACCGGGTACTCGTCCTTGAGCGCGTCGGCGCCCTTGTTCACCAGCGCCACGTCGCGCTCCACCTCCAGCAAACCCTCCGGCGCTGCCCCTGCTCGCCGGCGACGCCGTGCAGGTAGCACTCGAGGTTGTGGAGCGTCTGCACCGTGCCGGGCCACTTGAGGTACGGCGACCGACCGGTGTTGATGTTCAACGTCACGGCCACGTCCACGTACGCCAGCGGCGGGTACATTGGCACGACGTCGCCGGCGTTCTTCACGTGGAGAGCCTTGAGGTCCTTGAAGGATTGGAAGGCCGCCCTGAAGAAGCGGTCGCCGACGTGCGGGCACGCGAACACGATGGCCGTCACCGGGCACGGTGGCTTATTGGTGGATGATGAGCCGCCGGGCACGTTCACGCCGTTGCTGACGATGTCGACGGCGTTGAGGATGGAGATGGCCGCGCCGAGGCTGTGTCCGGTGATGGTGATGCTCATCTCCTCGTCCTTGTAGAGCTCCACCAGCCTCCTCACCTCCTCGAAGACCTGGTCCCTGGCGCTAGTCTTGTTGAACTTGGAGCCGGCGTGGCTGGACGTGTACATGGAGAGGAAGCCCATGTGCACCATCGCCAAGGGGTTGGCGGCGGCCTTGGAGCCGAGGACCGGCGCGGCGGGCACGGGCGTGAAGCCTGAGGTCGTTGACCCACTCCAGGCTCTGCACGGTGCCGCGCCACGCGACGACGATGTCGCGCCTCCCCAGCGCGGCGGCGCCCTCGTCGGTGGCCACGGCGACGTAGCCCATGAAGTTGGACTCCCTGGACCACACGTCCTTGAGCGCCGCCAGCGGGCGCCGGAGGAAGGCGTCGGGGAGGGGCTGCCCCGACGTGGCGTAGATGAACCTGGTGACCTCGTAGTGGCCGGCTGCCGCCACGCCCGAGCTGGCCAGCAGGTCGGAGTAGCCGTACATGCAGGCGCCGGCGTGCGGCGACCGCCGCTCCGTGTTGAACCCGTCGTAGGTGGCCTCGGCGAGCTCGCCGTAGGAGATGATGGACTTGCGGAGGTCCATATCCAGCGGGTCCAGGAGGCCCTTCCAGGAGTTGTCGCCTTGGAGCTCGCGCCACCTCGTGGTGATACTTCCATTTGCAGAGGATGCCATGGCTACTAGGAGTTGAGTTACCTCCCTCGGCTGCGTTGCGCTGCGCAGGCACCTACACTAGCGAGTCGTCCAACTTGAGTAGCCGATGACGAGCGAGCTAGCTATCGCTTGGCGTTGTTTGGGTTGCTTGGTTTGGTGCTTCAGCTTGGAGTGTATTTATAGCCGCCGAACCGACCCTGGCCATCCTGCACCAACCACCCTCTTCCTCACGTACCGACCCCGGCCAGTACGTGATTCACATGCAACCGACAATCATCTTTTCTTTTCTTTTTTGAACAAATTAACATGCAACCGACAATCATCCCTGTAGCAAGCAGTACTACTGCTACATGAGCCCTACCACCACCTATATACAGCCTGTTCGGAACGGTTGGTTTGTTCGTTGCTGGTTCGTGAAAAAGTACTGTTGACTAGTTTATGTGAGAGAAAAATATTATTCCTGACTGAGAACACTATTCACATAAACAGTGCTGCGTGAGAGGGCTGGCCAGCCCCAGCCAGCCAGCCGCTCCAGCCGAACAGGCTGATAATCCAGTGCATCACCATCGGTCATAGCTATCGCATGGCGTTATTTGCGTTGCTTGCTTTGGTGGTGCTTCAGCTTGGAGTGTATCTAGGTCCTGTTTGGTTTCTATAGGCGCTCTTAAAATTACTGTCACATTGAATGTTTAGACACATGCATAGAGTATTAAATATAGACTAATTACACAACTTATGATTAATTTGCGAGACGGATATTTTAAGCCTAATTAGTCCATGATTTGACAACATGATGCTACAGTAACATGTGCTAATGACAGATTAATTAGGCTTAAAAATCATCTCGCAAATTAGCCTCCATCTATATAATTGATTTTATAATTAATCTATATTTAATGCTCTTTATTAATATCTAAACATTCAATGTGACATGAATTTTAGAAGCGACTCAACAAAACACCCCCTTATATCCGCCGAAGCGACCCTGGCCTGCATCCTGCTGCCAATGGATGCGTGCTCCGCGTGCCAATCATTCATGGGCCGTGATGGGCAGCATCATAATGATATGATGCCGGTGGAGAAAGAATGGGTCACCCATATACCCATGCATGTATGCTGGATCTGGTTGCGGCGCGCGTGAGAAGGAAGAAGCGCGCTAAAAAGACAGGCTCTTCAACCGCCTCCACGAGCTCTCTGTGCCGCCACTCTGCGCATCCGAGCTCGGCACTGCCACACTGGCGGTGGCGATCGATGGGAAGGGGACGGCCTTGGTACGCAGCCGTCGTGGGTGGGAATCCTCTGCCCGAGCGCATCAGCGCTCAGCGGTCGGTGGCCGGCTTTCTTCTTCTTCTTTCCCGTGACTGGGTGGCCGGCTTTTAGGGTGTACATTTGCTACTGTCTGTGTTAAATTTCATGATCTTATAGACGGCCTCTTGTTCGTGGGTTGTACGTGCCAGTGCATCACCATCACCATCACCGCGTGTAGTAATTGGTCCTGTACCGTACCAATTAAGGTCCCGTTCGGTTCCTAGAAACCGTTCCCGGCCGGACCATTCCTTCAATAATAATCTATACAACACCGGAATAATTCCGAACGTGGAATGGCCCATTCCGGAGGAAGAGCATGCATGCATCCGAACGTGGAATATGCCGGTCAAGACGACAATAATGCAAGGACTGCATGCATGTGAAGATCGTGTAGCCAGCGCGCGAGTGTACCTGCGGCCGGCTGGATCTGCGCTGCGCTCGGCACATCGTGCCATTAATTCATGCGTGAATCACGAGCTGGAACACTGTGAATTTGCCGGCCGCCATTGCCCATCGCCTTGCCATTTGCCAACCGGCCGCCGTTCCAAAGTAACGCAAGCTTATTGCTTCACCATCTCTTGTTACATATTCTATTCATAGTTTAAGACGGTACACAAAAGATACTAGAAGAAGTTCCGCCGTTGGGTCTTGACGTACGGGCAGTAGACATTGGCTCATCACAGTTCATAGCCCTAATATAACCCAACCCCCACTCTGTAAGGCTTTGGCACCTTGGAGTTCCCACTCAGGGTGCTAGAAGTTTTATGAGGTGGTTATTCGAATGTCACCTTAACGGTACACAAGCCATTCTCATTGGAGGTGTTAGATTGTGTTTGTAGACTTTGACGCTAACATTGGTCTAATTGAAAAAATACCCTCCATCCCAAATTATAAGGCATTCCAAGAATCTTGGAGAGTCAAAACATCTCAAGTTTGACCAAATTTATATGATAAGATAACAACATTTATGATTCCAACTAAGTATCATTAGGTTCTTCATTAATTATATTTTCATAGTATATCTATTTGATGTCATAAATCTTTGTAATTCTTTTTATAATTTTAGTCAAACTTGAGATGCTTTGACTCTCCAAGATTCTTGGAATGACTTATAATTTCGGATTGATGGAGTATTTTTGTTATCGTATACGTAACTTTTTTAAGGTATTTGTTATCGTATAAAATATTTGTCTTTTGTACCTTAAAACTTTGTTCACATGCAACGTATGTCATATATGTTGTTGTGGGGGTCGAGTTCCATGGATTTTCGAAATGATTCACTATTTTTTATAGTTTAAATGATTTTTTGCGTATCTATCAAATGAAATTCGAAATTGAACTACGTATACCCCTAATAAGATTCAAAAATACATAAAAACTATATTTGGTCTGATATGGTCCATTCAATCATGATTCATGTCACAGAGATCAATAACAAATTCAATTATTTTGCAAGGATAATTCGATGTTCTATCTCCATATTACCACTAATTAATTCTAATAATACATAAAAGTGGTCCAAAAAATCTAGAAATCTCAATGAAAGCATATATATTATATGTATATGCCTGCCATAAAATTTTCAAATGATTTTAATAAATTGGGCATATGCATCATTCACAAAATGGATACATCTCATGTAACAAGGGTCAGAAACATAGGTATATAACATACAACCAAAGAAAAATCCGTACAACAAATTCATAACATTTTTCTTAAGATACACCTCACCAGAAATAAGGATTAAAACAAATTTTTTGCTGAGTCAAGGACAAACCCAGCAGCTACCCCAAACACCAAAGCAGCCCAAGAACCATCTAGGCAGCCCTAGCCTATAACAACGAAGGTGCCTGGGCAGCGCTCCTAGTGTACCCAAGCTTTGGACGGCGCTCCTAGATGTTTAGTGTTCTAGCTTTTAGCTAGATGAATCTTCGTCAATAGTCTTGCAAGGATTCTTTTTCAATTTTGGTAGTAGCTGAACAGATACATAGGATGGAGCATTAGCAGATAGACATCTTTGAAGTTGGCGGATTGGGAGTGGGTCTTGGTTGTCTGGTAGGTGATGACCGGTTGGCCGGGTTACCTTCGTGAGCAGCTATGTACTCATCCACTCTTGTTAATGTGTTCAACACTTCAGCCCTTTTCCTTCCAATGTCTACGGATTGCGTTGATTCTGCACTTCTGAAAGCCCTATGTTTGGTTTCGGTAATTGAGACAACTAGTGGATTATCCTCGACTCTAGTGTTGTGACTGATAAAGGTTAGGTCCACACCAAGGTTGAGCAAGGATGGCACACATGGAGGAAATTGTGGTGACCAAATGGTGATCAAGTGCTAAAATTCTTGGAATGAAGAAAGAGAAACAAAATGCATGGGCTCAAGGCAAAGGTATAAGCTAGGGCATTTTGTTTTGCCGGTTAAGACACAATAGAGTGCGTGATCGGATTTAGGATAGATGGTCGTACTATTTGAAGGTACCGTGACGCCTAAGAGGGGGGGTGAATTAGGCAACTTAAAATTCTACATCTAAATTATGGCCTCTTTTTCTACCCTTAGCAAAACCTATGCAAAAGATAAACTATCTAAATATACAACTACGGTTTTGCTAGTGTGTTGCTATCTCTACCGCAAAAGGAGTAATACAATCAATGTAAATGCGGAAGCTAAAGAGCAAGATAGAGATATGCAAACTCCCGTCGACGACTCTGGTATTTTACCGAGGTATCGAGAAGTGCGCAACCTTCCCCCTAGTCCTCGTTGGAGCCCCTCACAAGGAATCCGTCGCAAGGGCCAAGCTCCCGGTCGGGTAACTCCGTGGATAGCCTCGGGCCTTCCCCACGCGCAAGTGGGTCTCCGACGTGCCTTCTGGCAAGCCTCTCCCGGATGCTCCCCGCCGTCTTCACTATCAAGCTTCCAGTCGAAACGCCGCGGGCCTTGTTCCCTCCGGTACACGGTGGCGGCCACACCACAAACGCGGTTGGTGTGATCTCGCAAGACTACAAGCCCCTTCGATGTACAACAATAGTGCTCGCAAGCACCGAGTGGTAAGAGGCATGCAAACCTCACTAAACACTAGGCCTAAACCTAGAGCAAACGCTTGAGCGGTGGTCTAATCAACCTAAGCACTTCGCAAAGCACCTACGCTAATCACCTGATGAATCACTAAGCACTATGCAAGTGGAGATCACTAAAATGGTGTATCAACACCCTTGGTATGTTTCCTCAACTCCACTCACCTCAAATGGTCGGTTAGAGGTTGTATTTATAAGCCCCGCTGAGAAAGTAGCCGTTGGAGACGAAGTCTCGCTTTTCTGCTACTGACCGGACGCTGAAATTGTCCTGACCGAACGTGTCCGGTCGTCCCGACCGTTGGAGCCGCGATCAACTGATCGGACGCTGCCAGTGTCCGGTCACCTGCCACCGGACGCGTCCGGTCATAGTTTCGCTGCTCTGGAACCTCTCTGTACTCGACCGGACTCTACTGTCCTGCATTCAATCGATCTGCCGCCAGCGTCCGGTCGTGCCTGTTGCCGAGCCTCTTTATCGGAGCGTCCAGTCACTTTCTTCCAGCATCCGGTCCAGCGTCCAGTCACTTCTGTAAGCTCGTTTCTTCGCGATCTTGCGTACGGCTTGGTTCCTATCTTCATGCTTGGACTTTGCATGATATCTTGGGTCTTCTCTTGTGCTCCTAGGGTCTTGCTTATGGTGTTGATC